GATCCGTCGTTCCGTGTCTTCGACTACGCGAATGGCCCTGGGAAGATGCTTCAGACTTACGTTCCCAAGGCTGAGGCCGTAGAAGACAAGATGCGCGCCTTCCTGGCGCCATCTGGCGAATCCTTGGCCGCAGTTGCGGATTTCGAGGAAAGGATGGCGCGCAGGGCGCGCGCGGAGTTTGCGCCTCATCCCTTCAGAGTGAAGCAGGGCAAACTCGACGACAAGATATGGCATGGCGCCGTCGGCAGGGCGAGGCGCGGAGCGCACTTCCCCCTGGTGGCTTTCACGCGCAATGCGTGCCGCAGGTCACCTGAAAGACTCGCCGCGAGGTTGGAAAGGCACGCACAGAAGAGGGGCAAGGGGGCCAAAGAAGACGGCAGGAAGGGCGGCAAGAAGGGCAGCTACGCACACACCGCAGTTGCGGGGAAGGGCGCCCGACCCCAGATGGAAACCGCAGTTGCGGGGAGAGACGCTGGGGCTGAGCGAGCAGAGAACACGCCGCCGCCGCAAGCTGCCAACGGCGACGATGCGACCCCTTCTTTTGCCGCAGTGGCGGCTGGGTCCTGGGGCGCGAGCGGCAGCGGCGCGTGGGAGGCGCGCTGGTGGGACTGGCGCTCGAGCGGATGGGGTGCTGATGGCGCGCAGTGGTGGCCCTCTGATGAGGCCGCAGTTGCGGACAATGCCCCTGAGGGCTCGCCACCTCAGCGTGAAGTCGAGTGGGGCTCGAGCGGGCGAGCGGCCGAGCGCCGCCCGTGGACCTGGGGGGCGCAGCGTTGGTGATGGCCGCAGTTGCGGGCAAGTGGGGCATGGTGTTGATAGCCGCAGTTGCGGACAGTGTACGCAGGACAAATCATCATCAACATCATCATATCATCAGCCTCTTGTGAAGACGTTCAAAGCAGTGCCGGGGGACTGCTTTGAACGCGTTCAAAGCAGTGCCGGGGGACTGCTTTCGATCGCCCCCTCGAATCCGTTATAAAGGCTTTCGGATTAGAAGGCAGGAGGGCTTCTCGGAAACCCTCTGCCCACTTAGAAGCGGGCGCCCCGCTCGCCGCACCCCCATGTGTGCGCCTCCAGGTTTCGACCAGCGCGTTCCACTGCTCGCAAAGTAACTTCCCGCAAATGGCCTGGATCCGCCGAGATGGATTCACGATACATGAACTACATCGAGGCGAACTTGCGTTTTTCGGACGTTTGCGAGTAGGCACCTTGCGAGTCGTGGAACGCGCTCGGTGAAGGTCGACGGAGACCGACGGAACGACCGACATCCAGTCCTGCACACAACGGGCCGGGAGGACGAACGCCGCCGACAGCGAGGCCGGGGTACCGCAGCTGGGCGCGAGGGTGAGGTGGGCGCCTGAGCACGGCCATCGATATAACTTCTCCGGATCGCGTGCTCAGAAGCTGCGGCACGCCCCGGGAGGAGGCGAGGCAGGATGAGCAGCACGCCACCGAGACCGTCGTGGCGGTCGTGGCGCTGGTGTGGGAGCCCTCGATCGCGCACCGTCGATCCGACGGGCCAGCCGTGCGAGGGCAGCGCCGGTCCGACGGCTCAGTCTTATGCTGGCGCGGAAGAGGGTCGTGGACGGCTGGGCAACACCGGGCGGTGGGTGCGTGCCGTCTGCGCAGAGGCGTGTGGGGGAGGCACCCCTCGCACAGGCCACTGCGAGCGCTGGAGGCCCGAGCTCGACCTCTTGACCTGGGCCGTCGGCGGCAAGCTCGAGGCGGATCAGGGTGGCACGGGCGAGGGCGACGGCAGGGTAGCGGGCCCCCCTGTGGTGGACTGCTTGGTGGACGGCGTGCTGCCCGAGGGCCCCAAGGGACTGGCGGAGAAGGCGGGTGCGCGGCGTGCCCTGCCCTGGGGAGCCACATGAGCGACGATCAAGAACGGGTCTTGCGCGAGATGACATCGTGCCCTTGCGCAGTGGCTTGCGCGGGCCGCCAGCGCGGCACGCCGCATGGGAAGCGAAGGCGCTTACGCGCGAGCTTACGCGCCAATGTCGGCGCAGACGACCCCGTTTTTGGCGTCGCTCGCATGTGTGCGAAATGCCCGAGAGGGAGCCGACGGCTGCCGTCAGAAGCAAAGGACTTCGGGAGCTGAGTGGCGGCCCGGACGCCGTGGGCGAGGAGGCCCAGGGCACCACCGGGCTCCGTGGAGAAGAGGACGCAGGTGTGCATACCCTGACGGCGCACGCGGTCCTTCCCCGCCTCGGGGAGCAGGCCGCCGAAACGGCCTGGGGTGGAAAATGCACACGGGCTTCGAGGCCGTGAGATCGCCGGTGTGCACAAAACGGGGCGCTGGCTAGCCAGGTGTCGTCGCCAGCTGGCGCCTCAGTTCTGGACAGCCGATACTTCGGGGGGGCGGGACAGAGGTCCCCAAATCGGGGGTCCAGAACAAGTCTTCTCCTCCTATTCGGGCGAGGAGGCGGAGGTTCTCCTGTTCCTCAGCATCTTCTTCCTCCCACTCCGCCTCCTCCTCCTCCCCCTCCTCCTCCTCCTCCTCCTCCTCCTCTTCCTACCTTCTCGTCTCCCCCCCTCGGACGACGAAGACGAAGGACGCGATGATGACGGCGACGACGACGACGAACGCGACGACGATTGCGGCGGCGACCCTTGGACCTATCCTGGAGTGCGCTCTGCCCCCCAAAATTGCAAAGGGAATCGGGCCGTAGCCGGGAGGGCTCCTAAGGAGGACCAGCGAGGCCCAAGAGCGCCCGCACACCTCGATCCTCGAACCTCCACCCTCGACGGCGGCGGCGGCGACGCACACCGAAATCCGCTCACAAGTCCGTGTGCCCCCGGATCCCTCCCGGAGGCCGTCCTGGCCAGCTTCCCACCTCGGATGTTTTGCTTGACGGCCCCTGGGCCTTCTGTGGCAACTCCTGGGAGCGCCCCATACCTCCTCGCTGGCTCTTGCGAGTCGACGCTAATTGACGCTAGATCGACGCCGACGTGCACTCTGAAAGACGGCATTGCGAGGGTGTGCGAGGCTCCAGTGATCTGCTACCGACTGGGCCCGCAACGGCCCCCCCCCAGACGTTGGTCCTCGATAGCCTCGGAGGAGGGGGGAGGAGGGAGGCGGGGGGAGGAGCAGGGGGGAGGCGGGGGGAGGGGGGGGGAGGAGGAGGGGGGAGGAGGAGGGGGGAGGAGGAGGAGGAGGGGGGAGGAGGAGGGGAGAGGAGGAGGAGGAGGAGGAGGAGGAGGAGGACGAGGAGGAGGAGGAGGAGGAGGAGGAGGAGGAGGAGGACCGTAGCCATTTTGGCTCAAGCCGCACCTCCCCAACATCTTGGCTCTATGTGCTTAGCTCGTGGCGCCTCGTTGGTGAGTTCTGTTTGAGATGGCGACGACAGGAGGCCCACCGAGGCTTCCTCGTGGTGCGCGTCAGCAGGAGGCTGCGCCGACCGCCCAAGCTAAGTTCAGCGTACTGCAGAACAGGATCATCGAGCTGGAGGAGCAGGGACGCATGTGTTCTGACCCTGATGTCCATGGCCGCCTGCTCGCCATCATGCCCTTCCTGGCCGAGGAGGTGTCTGCGCGCCGCCGTGGCGACACGGCGGTGCACTCGCGGATGGAGGTCGTCATGCGCAACGTTGCCATGCATGTCCTCGGCGTTCCCATGGCCCAGGTGCAGGGACTCGCGTTCCAGGACCCGAATCAGGTGCAGCGGGGCTGCCGCGGGCAAGGACGGCTGGGCGCACCGACCGTGGAGTCGACCCCGCGTGCCGACGCCTAACCCGTTCGCCCCCCTCGGCCCTGGGGCCCTGCCCGCAGGTGGAGGCCAGGAGATGCTGCCGCCCCTTGGCTGCCTCTGCGCGTGCGGCTCGACCTCTTTCTCGAGCTGCTCGAGGAGGCCAGGACCGCCAGGGCCCCTGCGGGGGAGGACTGCCCTGCCGCTGCAGCCGCCGCGGGAGGCTGCTGCCAGTGACCGGGCGTCTGCGGGTGTGGACCACGGGCCAGGGGGAGCAGAACAGCGCAGCAGATGAGCCGAACGAGGCGGCAGACGCCGGCACACGGGAGGCCTCGACGTGCGCCTCCGAGGAGCTCGCACACCCCAGCGGACTCCTCGAGGCTGAAGCCGCTGCCGCCGCCGCACCGGAGGAGTGCCCGCGTTGGGGTGGCCTGCCCGCGCGGGAGCTCAATGCAGGCACGGGCCGCCGTGCGGCCGCCCGTGACGGTCGTGCAGCCCGTCGTCCGCCGCCGTGTGCGCCTCGGAGCCAACGGCCTGAGCGGATTTTGGGCACGGGCGTGCTGCTGGCTAGAGTGTTCGGGCCCCTGCGAGGGATGACTGCCCTGCGGTTGGTGCCGCCGCTGGCGGCGCGGGCATCCGTGGCACCAGGCCGCCCAGTGATACAACCTGTGAGCAACAGTCATCCCGGTCTCACTGAACGGAGGCTTGGGTGGATTGTTCACCTTTTGCTGTTTCTCAAGTTACAGTTGACTGGTGACCTTCCCGCCACACATGTATTGTATACTTCTGTGTATAGTTTGTTGTCCTTGCAATGTATTGTCTCTGTGAACGAAGTCTTGGCCGGATTGCTCACATGCTGCACTGCCATTCTGCATCTATGTTGTTCTTATTCCTGCCATGTGAATTGTCGTATATTCTTAACTGCGTTCCCTCACAGGTTGTGTTGATGAGTCATACATCGCGCAAGGTTCCTGCCGCCAATTCTTCCATGGTGCTGTGCCTCGTCCTGGACTTGGAGCGTGCACTGGGTGGCTGGCAGCGGCGGACCAACCTCTGAGTTGTGTGCTTCCCTCTGTCTCTCGTGGAATGCCCCTGGCGCCTCGGGTTGTGCGATGATGATGAGGAGGAGGAGGAGGAGGAGGAGGGGGAGGAGGAGGAGGGGGAGGAGGAGGAGGAGGAGGAGGAGGAGGATGGAGGATGGAGGAGGAGGAGGAGGAGGAGGAGGAGGAGGAGGAGGAGGAGGAGAGGAGGAGGAGGAGGAGGAGGAGGAGGAGGAGGGCTTCCGACCTCGACCCGACCCGCGCCGCGGCACCTGCCACTGCACCACGGTCTTGCCGCCGCTGTGCGAGGAGCTCCAGCACCTCGGGGGCAGGCGCGGCGGCCGACGCCCCCGCTCGACCCCGCTCCCCGCTCGCGCCCGGCGGCGAAGGGGGGGCGACGACGACGACGAAGAGGGTACCGATGATTGTGCCGATGAGGATCGTGACGGTGATAGTGATGGGGGTGATGATGCCGATGGTGATGCTGCTGCCGATGCCGAGTGTGGTATGATCGTGGTTGTGTGTGCGTGTGTGTGTGTGTGTGTGTGTGTGTGTGTGTGTGTGTGTGTGTGTGCGTGCGTGCGTGCGTGCGTGCGTGCGTGTGTGCGTGCGTGTGTGTGTGTGTGTGTGTGTGTGTGTGTGTGTGTGTGTGTGTGTGTGTGCGTGCGTGTCGTCCTGGCGTAAGGCCATGGCGACCTTCTCTGTGGCTGTCTGCCCCGACGAGGGGCTGCTGCTGCTGATGCTGCTGGTGCTGCTGATGCAGATGCTGATGATGATGCTGATGATGCTGCTGGTGATGCTGCTGGTGATGATGATAACGAGGGGTGATGATGATGAGGAGGGCAGCATGTGCCGAGCTCATCTACATGCTGATGGCAGTTCGAGCTGCACGCAGTAAGTGAACGTATGGTGAGAAATAATGGGGCGGAGATGCAGCGTGCCGCACTTTGTTACATAAGTGAACGGACAACACTAGCTGTGCATGGGCGTGCTCTCGCTCGAATTGTAAGATATACACTGGCGGGAGTGCGATGAGGAGGCGGAGGAGGCGGAGGAAGAGGAGGAAGAGGGCGATGCAGAGACGTAGCAGGAGGATGTAGAGGAGGGTCGGAGGAAAGGACGAGGACAAGGATAAGGTGCTAGCAAGTCTGGGGTAGAACTTACGACAGGAATCTACATGTCCGAGAGAGCATGGATGCAGGGGCCGAGCTGTAGTGCTCTGGCTGCCCGACGCGTCCAACATGCCTATGGCGAGCCGGGAGGAGAATGATGGAGAGAAGAGGGGGACACAATGAGAGGGGAAGTCAAGGGGAGTGGGGTGAGGATGGGGCAGGGCGAGGGGGAGGGACAGCAGGCATCCTCGTGGAAGCATGCGAGGAGGACGGCGACGACGGCGGCGACGGCGGCGTCAATGACGTGCCGACCGAGCCGCGCGCGGTCCGAGGCCCTGAAGCCCACCACAACACGAAGCTCACAGCTGCCGAAGCCGGGAACAGACGGCCGCCGTATCCGCTTCCGAGACGGCGGCGAACGAGGCAACACGACCGACGGCCCACAGCGGCGGCGGCGGCGGCCGACGACCGACGGCCACGGCTGCGGCGCCCGGAGCTCTTCATCCCATGTGGCCTCCCGACGGCGAACAACACAAGGCGCATCGATCATGCCCTGGCGAAGGACAGTCTCGGGCAGTCTTCGGCGGAAGTTCCCCTGAGGCTGGGGCTGGAGGGTCTCTGAAAGTCAACAGCTGGAAGACCCCGCCTCCATAGAACCCCGTGGAAGCTCCTAAATGGGCCACACGTTTTTCTTGAATTCTCATATCTAAAAATAGCTATTGTTGATCCCCCCTCCCCGGTGCACATGGTATTTTTCAATGGAATGACCCCTTCCGGGATCGCACCGTTTTTTATGATGATATTTCCCGAAGAAGCAAAAGGAACACTTGGGCCTCAGACTGGGTTGTTGGCCTCCGGTTTGCGACAACCTCCGGCTTCACAAGGTATTGGGAGTCGGGCTTTCGCTGGATACTTTCTTGCAACTTATCCAGGATTCGCGCTCGCGCCCGGGACCTCCTCACACATTGTCCACGAATCGCTTTGTCGGCGCTCTGGAGTCGCGCTCTCGCCTAGGTTTTCCGCACAATTTGCTGAAGGATCGCGCTCTCGCCTGAGACTTCCATGCCATCCCCTCTTGCTAATACCTCGTGCTAATTCCTCTCGTATCTGCTCCCTCCCTCCTCTTGCCCTCTTCCCTTCTCCCTCCCTTCCTCCACTCCCTTCCTCCCTTTTCCATTATTTCTGTTCTTCCTGTTTTAAGGGCTCTGCCAATTACATGTGGAAGGGAAGGATGATACACCCCCGAAAGGGGTACGATCAAAGACGAAGAGGGTGGGTATCGAGTGTTTGGCAGATACATGTTCCATGACACGCGAGCATATGAGAGCGAACCATCTTACCATTAATGACGTCTGTTCTCAAACAACAGAAATGGTTAAACCACCCTCCTGTGCACATTGTGTTTTTCAATTGAAGGGCTCCTCCCGGGGCTCGAACCGATTTTTTACAAGAGGAAGTTTAGGCCTCAGACTGGGTTGATGGCACCCAGTCTAAAACAACGGCTCTGGCCTGCTGGTTCTTCACAAATTGTTCGAAATCTCGCTCTCGCGTATGATTTCTCACACGTTACTGAAGAATCGCGCTCTCGCATGACATCCTCGCATTTTATTCAGACGCCTCTTCAAGCTCCAATTGTGTAGATGGCCCCAGTTTGCAACAAAGGCTCCCGCCTGATACTTCCTCGATTTATTCCCAGCCGCGCTTTCGCGTGGGACATCCCAGCAATTGACTGAGGACTCGCGCTCCTGCTCAGGACTCCCTTGCCATCTATTCAGGCGCCGCGCCCTCGACGCCCAGGACTCGCTCTCTCGCACGAGGCCCCCTCACAATGTGCTCAGGGCTCGTGCTCTCGCCCGAGACCTCGCCGCAGCTTGCAGAGCTCGCCCCCGCCCGCCCGCCCCGCTCCCGAGGGCCCGCCCGCCCGGCCGGCCCGCTGGAGTCCGAGGCCCCGCCCCGCCCGTGAGCGTCCGCCCGTGCGCCTGCCGGACGCCCGCCCGCCCGCTTCAGTGTCCAAGACGTCCCCCGTCGGCGGTGGACAGACCTCCCCTTTAGCAGACCTCCCTTCAGCGAAAACGGCCCAGGCCAGACACCGACGGACCTGGAACCGCAAAGAATGACGGCCGCGACGCCCCCTCGCGAACCGAAAACGGCCAATTCGCGAAACGACGTGTCAGGGTAGGAGGTCTGTCCACCCCCGACCCAATGGGGCCTCCAAGAGCTCCCAGGAGGGCCCAAGCGCAAATGCAGTTCATGGAGCCTAGTACGATATGTTCTCCTTGGAGGCGTGCGTCCGACCCAAACACACACTATACCCGTCTTGTAGTAGATCGTTTCCCGAGCGGTGTGGCCAGAAAGCGCCCGCCACAGCGCATGTACTATAAGATTTCTCGCTGCGCGCATCGCCCCCGGGGGGGCGACGCACATATAGTATAAGTATGTTGGGGTGAAGTCGAGTTCGCATTCTGGACGTGCACCCCGCGAGGCGAGAGGAATCAGCGTATCGGGGAGGAGCAGCCCCGACAAGTGAAGCCAACGCCGCCCGCCCGATTGGACGACGGAGCGCGCCGATTTTGCATGGACGACGGGTCTGCCTTCGGACCTCTGCCTAGGGCGACTGCTTGCAGCAGTGCGCCCCATGGGGGAGACTTCACCTGCCCGAAACAAGCGCCCCAAACGGCCAAGATCTACTCCACGGGTGGGGGAGGGGAGGGCGGGGTGCGAGGGCCCGCGAAGCCGATCGGCAAAACAGTGAACAAGAAAACGATCACGTGCCGTAGTCCACGTTTGCGTTGTTTCACCGCGCGAGGTGTTCTGTCGGCGGCGCGCCACAGGAGGAAGCGAGCGGCGGCAGGCCTTCTCAGGAGGCGGCTGGGCTTCTCAGAAGCCCTCGCGCCTTCCGAGAAGCCCCCTGCGGCTCCAGAGAAGGCTCGACAGGCTTCTCGGAAGGCCTCCGGGCCGTCTGAGAACGCCCGACGAGGAGGAGGAGGAGGAGGAGGAGGAGGAGGAGGAGGAGGAGGAGGAGGAGGAGGACCTCTGACTTCCCCCCGGGCGCGCTGCCGATGCCAGCTGAGGAGGCAACAGGTCTTGAGTACTTGTGAACCGATCCTGATCCCCACTGGCGTGGCCTTGGCCCCAGTGGCCGACTTACACCTGGGTGGGGATACATGCCTGCTCCTTCGGGCTTCGCGGGGCCGAAGTGGGGTGGTGGTCGGGGGCTGCGATGCCATGGCCCAGCCGAGATTGGGATAAGTTCCCAGACTCCCGACGCCAGGGCTTTTCACAGCGTCGATCTCCCGAGGTCTTGACCCATTTCCAGGGACCTGTCTTCATCCTGAGCAGGCTGTTGACAATCCCGAGGCCTTGTACGGGCCCCTGGAAGCCGAAAATAGCGAAAACCCTCCCGTCATGTTTTTTTCATGACCTGATGGGGGTCTGGGTTTGAGGGTGCTAAGCTGTAGCCAAGGGTCCATCTTATAGGACGGGGCTAGGACGAAGATACATCCGTTCCAGAGCGTTCCGGAACGCTCTCAGAGCGTTCAGGAACGCTCTGAGAGAGCTGCGGCGCCTGAAACATCCTGTAGGACCGCCAAATCCCAAAGATTCTCGATTTGTCCTCACCCGAATCTATCCTCGTCCTGGCTTCGTCCAGGTTCCCAGACATCCGGCTACTTCAACTTTCTCGACGCGTTGGCCCCTGAGTTCTTGACCACTTCCCCCCCGGGCCGGTGCTTCGTCCCGAGTCGTTCCTGACGGTGCCCCGAGGCCCGGCGAGGGCCCCTAGAGGCCGAAAACAGCCCCCTAACCCGCCACTGCACTTTTTTTTCGGGGCGTCGGATCTCTGGGATCGGCGGCGAGAGGGGGGTACATGAGAAGGATAATGGCTTCTCAGAAGGCGGCGGGACTTCTCGAAGACCTCGCGTCCTCCTGTAAACAAGCGCGCTCCACCACTCGCAAAGTACCTACTCGCAAATGTGCTTTTTCGGACGCTTGCGGGTAGGCACTTTGCGAGTAGTGGAAAGCGCTCGGTGATCCTGAGAAGTTTTCTCTGTCTTCGGGGAAGACTTAGAGAAGGAGGAGGAGGAGGAGGAGGAGGAGGAGGAGGA